TGTAGATTTTAGAATACCATCAGCAACCTTTACTTCCCACTCCCTTTGGCCTCTCTGACTACAGTGCATCTTCTGATTTGTCTTCTCACTTTGGAAAGACATCTATGCCCACATCTTTCCTCAATCAGGTGGTGGCCCAGGGTCCTGAGAGCTTTCCAACTTCCCTGGTTTTATGTGGATAAGGCTGTTGCTCTCAATAGAGCAGCCTCTGATGCAGGAGTAAGATAAGATGCCTGTCGTGAGTAGGCATTTGCTTGAGTGAAAAACAGATGTCCTGACCCAGGAGTTATGTCTTTTTTAAATGCCATGTATGAACTTTTTATCTCTCCTTAACAGAGCGGGAAAGTAAGCTCCCCAGCCTATAGACAGTGTCCCTTTGACACTGCCTAGCAGGCGCACGCCACATGGGCACACAGTCGTGCAGGTAGTTTTCCTCCAGGAAGCGCCACAATTTGCACTGTTCACAAACCGCAGGGTACTATTCTGTTTCCAGGCTCCTAATCCCTCTTACACACAATCCCTTACAACTTGAACTGGGGGGGGTGGAGGAGCAAGTTAAAAAGGAAGGAAAAAGGAAAATGAAACACAATGTACAGCCAGCCAGTGGCTGCCAGTTAGGGTGCACACAATCGACACCAGCTGCAGCCCAATTAAACCCGACATTCACAGGTGTTCCCAACAGACTCTGCACTTACAAAACCACTTTCTTGAAAATACCTAAGGCTTTAACACAGAAGCTCATTTCTTTTTTCCTCCTTTTTTTGAGGGGAAAAAAAAAATTCTTTAAAGCTGTTTAGAACACTTTAAATACAAAGTAAGTGAAAAGGACTTTCAGTCCACTGGAAAGAGTCGGTGCTTAATGCCAGAGTGGGGGAGAGTCAGCCAAACTGAATCACCCAGTGTAACCAATGGTTTCGAGAGAAAGATGGGTTATGTTGAATACTGTTTATTCAGGGAACAGTAACTGGGCATTTTATTGTTGCTGGGAGTAAGTGTGAGGGGGAAGTATGACTAGGTGCAAATCAGTTTCCTTTGGGATTCAGTTATTTGCACCTTAGCTGTGAGCTTGTGTGTGGCTTTGCTTATTACTGGTCAGTGTGTATACAGGTGGTTAAGATAGCAAATTTTTGCTCTCCTTTCCTCCCAGGATAACTCAATACAGTTGCCTTTTTGACTCTAAAGTGGGATTCTAAATTAGTTGCTTATTTTCTGATCTTAAAGCACTCATTGAGATGATAACTCAGTCCTTTATAAAAATATGGTTTTAACACATGAATTCAAAATTACTTCCACACTAGAAGAGGTCTGCAGACAGCAGACTAATGTAAGACCAGTAATTTGCTCTCATTACATTGAAAATGACAACTGTGTTTGTTAAACTTTGATTTAGAATTTAAATTAAGAATCAAACTAGGGTGTATTCCGGTGCTCCTGGATTCGGTAGTATTCAACCACACCTGGCTGGCTGTTCATCTCTGCAATAACACCTCAGAGCTCAGTAGTTATTGCTTAATTACCTGGTGCCTGGCCTGTTTAATCACTCTTCTTTCTGTCAATCACTTAATGTCTTCATTACTGCTTTAACAGTCAATGCTAAAAGCCACCCTGTATTCAGATGCAGTCAAGAATATCTATTTTGTCCTTCAATACATCAAGGTGCAATTTTGCCTTTGGAAGAGGACTAGGACATTATTTGTGTTCCTCACAGCACACAGAGATGCAAAAGACTTCACTTTTTTGTCTTTTTTAATATTGAAAAGGTAAAAATGGTGATCCCTTGGATTTGTATTTGAACATCATTAAGCATTGTCTTAAAACTGGCAGATATGTAATGTTGGTTCACAGCATTCATTTATAGAGGCAGGCAGAGGCTATTCATCCTGATAAATGCAATGGAGAAAAATCACCCAGGTTTCAAATTCACAGGCATGCAACCTAAATTAGATATTGTCACTCAGGAAAAGATACTGGATGCAGTGTGGATAATCTGAGAAAAATCATCTTGGCACTAATATGATGGCAGATACAGTAATAGAAAGGGAACCCAGGAACACTGCTTTGCCATGGTATGGCTCCCTCTGTGCCGTGTGGCTTCAGCAGCTCAACAGCACAAGAACAGAGAAGAACTAGTTAGTGAAGGCGACATGGCAGACAGGCTGAAGGATGGCCAAGTTCTGCAGGAGCTGGAACTGAATCACTGAGGACTCTGTAAAGACTTGACTGAGAGGGGATGAGATAAGACTGTAAAATCATTGACAGTACAGAGAAGGTGAATGGGAAGCAACAGATGAATCACTGTTCTTGTAACACCGGAACTAGGAGGCACTGGCTGAAATTACCAGGTTTAAGACAAGCCAAAATGCTTTTTTATAGAATGCATGGTTTGACTATGAACATTACAGGATAATGTTGTGTAGGCCAAAAGGAGAAGTGATTTAAGAAAGTAATTGGACAAATTCACTGAGGATAGGTCTGGTGCAAGTTTTTAAAACTGATGATCTAGATGCAGCTTCTGGTTTTGGAGTGTCACTAAGCCTGGGATGGATATGTACCTTGCTGCAAAGCCATGGGTTTTCTTCCTTCCTCTGCTGTCAATTTGGCCCTTTTTGCTGTGTTCCCTCTTTACCTCACTTGACCCAATCTATGTTTGTTTTAAATTTTGGCAGAAATGACATTTAAAAACCCTTCCATTGCTTAGTGTGGTAAGAAATGCCCTAATGTGACTGTGACAAATCTATGAAAAACTAGGAGACCTTAGGCCAATAACACAGTAGATTTCACCAGATGAATTTGCTCTCATTTCACTGTGGCTGTATTACTCCTTGTGTTTGCTTTCCACAAGTGATTTAGCTTTATTAGCTAGTGAGAATGCTGGTGAGGACTTTTTTTTTTTGAGTTTGCATACTTGAATGAAGAAAAATAATCACACTTGCCTTGTTGAATCTCTTACCTCAGAAACCTGATACTCTGGGTTAGCCAAGGAATGGAAACAATGCCATGTGACTTCTGTGACCAGACACAAGGGCCCAAATTCTAAACACTGTGCCAGAATGCCTGCTGTTTATTACTCAATAATACATAAAATATTTAGTCCACAAGAATTCTGAGTGCAGCCAGGAAAAGGGAGAATGATAGTTCATGCCTTAAAATTCTCCTTTCCTTAAAAGCAGCTGAAATGTTCCTGGGAAGTAAAATAAAAAATAATTATCAGTTTTCTTGGGCTTCCTCATGTCTAGTAGTTTTCAGTAATAGCAGAACTTAGTTCAGTCTTTAAGATTAAAATTAAAACCAAAAAACCCTTTGGAGGTTCATTATCATCATCGTTACTGATACTCTTGGGAAAGCATAGAGAAAAAGCATCATCAGAGGTATCAGCATATGGGCTGATATTCCTCCTAAGAGTATCAGTGTTCAAATGGAACAGGAATAAATGAGACTGGCAGTGCTGTTCCTTCTTTCTTGGATCTGGCAACTTGAGTCTTCAGCTTCTCCTTCAATAAAACCTATCAGCTCCAAAAAAGTGAACGTCTTGTGCTGTAGTGATACCCTCCTTCATAATTCTGATGTTATAGATCGATGATGGACTCTGTGAGCAGAATACAGCAGTCAAAACTTGCTGTAGTACATGCTGGGTTTTATAATGATGCCTGTAGAAACCCCCAGCAGGTCTCTTCCTCTTCGTTTATGTAAAACTTGCCTTATTGCACTATTTATCAAGGGGAAATGGACCCCTCCTTCAAAGACCAACACAAGTTTAGAGTCCAAGATGCTTTTCCATCAAGTCTTCTCCTTTTTGAAAGATTTCTAGGTTTGGTGTTAGACATGGATGGGGGAAGGGAGGTTTGATCCAGTTTGGGTTTTTTTCTTTTTCTTTAAGTAGATTTATTTTTGTGTTGAGATAGGGAAATAGTCACACTGTCTACTTGGAGAAAAACCTGAACAGGAAGACCAGTATCCCTCCGTTAACTTTCCAGATGATGTATTACTTACCTCTGCAAGAAGTTGGTGCACTAAATCTCAGCTATGCTTCCACATTTAACTTCCACATTTGTCTCTAAGTCCTGAAAAGCATTAAAATGCATAAGAGCAGTGTTTAGCTTCACTGCTCATTAGAGCAGCACAGAACTAACAGTAATATTGTTGTAACTTGACAAAGCCATCTAAATCCATGCATGTTTTCTCTTGAAAGCTTCCTAAACATGCTGCTAAATCCTCTGAAAAGCTACTAAACAGCTTTGGCAACCATTAGCACAGCATAAGCAGGGGAACTCCTTTCAGTAAGTGAACAAACAGAGAAAATATGCTGAATAGCTGGACAAATGTGTTTCAGCTGGCTCTTTCACTTACAGATATAAGGGAGCAGTCAATATCAATCACTGTTTTCCCTGTTGCACTGGAAATCACAATATCTCTTTTCATTCTGCAAGCTCTTTTCACCACAGTAATGTGTCTTTAGAATGACACTGGAATCAGTCTGTTTCCGCTGTCTAAAGTCCAGAGAGCTTAAAAACACATTGCAGGTTATGAGACCTTAACCCTCCTCCCCTTCCACTGCTCTCTCCTTCTAGCCTGCCTTTTGGAATTAATTGTTTTTACTTCTTTCCCAGTGTAAAGTTGAGAAAGAAAAGTGCCCACAGAACCTGGGAATATCTGCTCCTGTGCTTTAGGGACAGAAAAATGTATCTCTTGTTGTTGGGGCTTTAATTTATCAGGTGTCGTGTGGAGTTTAACACAAGGTAATATGATTATTAAGTTAATTTGCAACATCCTGTAATATGAAATGTAATGTTATTGTGGTTTCAATTTTGAGCTATATCCTGTTTCTTGGATGTCCTAATCACCCACAACCTCATTTATTAAAAATAGTTGGAGAAAATCTGACCATGTGAGCGTCTGGCATTTAGAGTATGTTGGTGTCTTGTGTTTGCTTTCTTCCTTTCAAGTAATGTATTTTATAATAGTAATTTTTTGTGGGGGTTTTCTTTATTGTTTCTTTGCAGATAACAGCAGTCTGCAGAGAAGCAGCCCTTCTAGCTCTTCAGGAAGACATACATGCCAAATCTATCATGGGACAGCACTTTCGGTACGCACTGACTATTGTGACCCCGAGAATTCCTGATTCGTTAATCCAGTTTTATGCAGATTATCAGCAGCAAAGTGGACTGCACGCGCTTTGAAAGGCAAATTAATACATACACCTATTCACAGTGTGAATAGTGTATTTCCTTTGTAAAGCTGTCAAAAGCCAAAGAATTTTGTATTGTGAGTAGAGTGTCTGAAATTAACTCAAGTGCAGAATTGTCATAATAAATGCCTATGTGGAAGTTTGGAGCATAACTGGTATCATGTAAAACTTCATATTTTTACAGTTCCAGTGGTATAATCTGCATTTTGGAGGTGATAAGATTGTTAGTTTAAGTCAATTTATTGGAGTGTGTATCTGTAAATCAAAAAGTAATTATCAAATTCTGAATTTTTGGTGGATTCTTGGCCCTAAAGAGAGTAGCAGCAAGTGTCATTACTGCCTTCATTTGTTCCTGCCTCAGCCGTAGTCTGATCCCAGGGACTGTCTCAGTGAGGCACAGACCTGAGGAGTGGCCTCACTACAAAAAATGCTGACAATTATTCTGAACCTTTTGATTTATGATCTCCAGAAAAGCTGCCAAACAGGCTTGATGAACATAGAGTTTTCCGAGGTAAAGCTAAGGTATCATGACTGATGACAATGAAACATTTGTTTTTGGTTTTAAACAACTCCTCTTTACACGTACTGGGAATTAGGCATCTTTAAAACTGTACATCCCTTGGCTAACCGAAAACCACTGCCAGGCCTCAGCAAAAGATTTCTATTGTTATTTGTTTGTTTCCATCAAAATAAATAGGAATGTTGATTGGTAATTTAAAGCTGGCCACTTGAATGAATACTAATTAATGAATAAGAAAACCTCCTTGCAAAAACTGTTATAAATGACCACAAAATAGTTCAGGGACAGGTAAAATCTTTTGGGCTTATTTCTTTGTTATATTGAAATGACTATGGGTCTTTATAGGTTCTCTACTTTGCACTCAATATGAAATGAAGATAAGTAAACTCATTTTCAGCTTTTTTCCCCCACAGTAGAAAGACTGAGCTTTTCTATTCCATACATGAAAAATAGAGGGAAAGATAAAGCAAAAACAATACAAACTTGAATCAAAATAGGAAAGAAAAAAAAATAAACCCCCTCAATTTCAGTGGGGAATTCTGTGTTTTCCTGGTGTTTTGCAGGTAAATAGAAGGCTTTCCAGGTCAAAATTTTAGCCAAATCCAGCTTTCATTTGTTGAAGTAAACAAATATATTTTTAGGCTCTGTGTAAAGTTATTTTTTGGATTTGTTTATCGATGGTTCTGAAGACTTTTCTTTCTTGCAGCCATTAGATATATATTCAGAAGAGTAGTAATTATTTAGAAATTTCCATAAATTTATGAGAAATTTGTGTATATCTAAGAGAGACTTCTACTATATTTACTTAAGTTATCAATATGAAATTTTAAAAGTAATCTCTTGGCCTTGATTATGGTTTTTCTCTTTTAGTTCCACTCTGTACATAATTTGCAGCTTTTAAACAGAAATATACTATTTTTATATAGCAACTTTTCTATTTTATTTTAAACTCTTGTTGTTATAATTAGCATTTAATTTTACTATCTCTGAAAAGGGTTAGAGCATGAGAAAAAGCATGTCGTTCACTTAGTTCATGTGATGTATGGGCAGTTTTTTTTCTTTTTTCATTGTTTGACCTTTTAATAGTACAACAGACAGAGGGAATTAAGAAAATTATAAATTGGAAAAGTTGCCTTGGGGATCAAGACTGTATTTGAAACTACTTTATCATCTTTTTCTAACTTTTATATACTACATCTTGAAACTCAGGTTGTGAACTGTTTATTATAACCATTGCATTTTTGATAATTCCAAAAATTAAATGCCACACTGTTATCCCCTGGTACTTTCCTCCAGTGTGTGTTCCTGAAGGAAGGAAAGAAAAACTAGTTTTTACTGCCAATAATGAATTCTGTTTATAATTTTATATCCTAAAAATAACACTATTGATGCTCCAGATCCGTAGCAAAACTAAATCGCCATTTCTTGGGAAGTGTTCAGTCAGATCCCTTGGGAATGTCCACCAACGCAAGAATCTGAACGGAGAGAGGCAGGTAGGAGCTGGCTGCCCTTTCTGTACGTGGGCTTCTGTTGCCACTAGTGAGAATTTGCACATTGAATTTTAGGACATTAGGAGAGAATGCTGGTCCATGACTGCTGTTCATGCTTTAGGAGAGAACCTATCCCTGCAAACATTTGTCCTCTCATCTGCACAGTACCACATGTATCCACGTGGTACCAAATCTCTTGATACATACCTACATGCCTGAAGGGATTTTAAATGTAGGAAGCTGCCTTTTTTTACGTTGGGTTTGTAGGACTTGGTTTTTAAAAAAGCAAGATACTGTTAAAATCTGAAGTCCCTAGAAGGTTTCTGTTGCTCCCAAAGACTGATTCCACTCAAAATCTTGCTCCATCCCAAGCCACAGATAAATTGAGATTTAAAGGAAGGTGTGGCGATTCCCCTTCTCTTTCCTAATGACAGATCACCATTATCATGAACTACCACCTTGAAACTTCACAAAAATCTGGAAAGTAACCAAAAATTCAGTTTTGGCCAAAGCATATCAGCAACCTAGTCCTTTCAGAATCCAGCCTGGTGAACACTTTTGCACCCTCACCCTCTCATTGGAACTTACTGATGAAGGCACTGTAGGACAGAGCACTTCTGAAGTATCTTCCATTAACCTGTCATTTAAATGAGTGTTTTTTAATTCAGAGCTGAACTTTTCACAGGGTGTTTTACTGAACACATTGTGCCTTGGCACTAAATCAAATTGCTTGCAGTGTGAGGACATATAAGCCTGAACACCTCCATGCTTCAGAGTAAATCAAAGATAGAGGCATTCTTTCTTCTGCTGGGTTAATCACGTTTACTGTTGTTGGATGTTTCCCTGAGATTTACTTTTAATAAAATGATAGAGCCCCTGTGAATAGAAGAGAATGAATCTGAGAAGAATCTCTTCCATCCTCTCTTTAACTGCTGAAGTGGTTCCTAGACTTATTTCTTTACGTTCTTTAGAAATACAGTCTTTTTCCTGCCTGCCATTATCTTTTGGAGCCAGTTTTTGGCCCCAATACTGCTTGAGTTGCAGAATTGTTAACATTAAATCAGCTTTTCAACGTTTCAGGCACATTTTGTTTAAATACAAAGTCTAACTTTTTCCTCCAATAACAGCGTCTTTGAAATTGGCATAAAATGTCTTTTGACAGGTTTGCCAAAAATGACCAGGAGAATATTTATGATCAAAATGAAAAAATGTCTTCACTTAACTTGAGAAAAAGTTCAGTCCTGTGTTCTCCCTAATGTATAAACCAGATTTTCACTGCAGGTGCGATATACAATTCTTAATCCTGGAAAAAGAATGAAGTTTATTGTGGATAATTTTTCTGCAGTCGCTAAATGAGAACAGAACATAGGTTTACTGAGTTCAGGTGCAAGGGTGAACATCAGGGACAAGATAATTTTCAAAGATGGATATTCAAAATCACTGGATTTAGATTTGTCAGCCCTTTCAAATATTGTACCCTGAAAGTTTATTTTTCTGGCTTGTGTATGCTGGCTCTTTCCTTTCAGTTTCTTTACTCATTTTAAATGTCAAACTGTGGTTCTTCTCCTTCAGAAACTGGGCACGTGCCAAACATAATGCTCCTATAACTGAACATCAGGCGATTCTTGCTGCAGGAAGGCTGGCTATAGATGGCTTTTCCCTGTGAAGGCTTCAGACTCTGTGCTGATGAGGTGTGGAGAGGAGTAGAGAGAAAGCCAAACTCTAAAGCCTGGTGTTTTATAGTGTGTACTGCCCATTAAGCTGAAGTTAAGTGATGGACACAAGTTCATGGGCGGGAGAACTCTCCTTATTGCAACAGGCAAGTATCAGTGCTGTGGAGGAGGCAGATCCTTAAGGCTTTTGGATGTTTCTGGCTCTCCCAGAGAAACCGGTCAATTGGGTGGGCGAAACAGTATTACCAAAACTAGAAAAGCAAATGTCCAGTGGTTGGGGTAGCTCAATATGTAGTGATAAGTAGGAGAAAACTTAGAAGCAATTGTACTTGGAAGATGAAGAGTCAGGCAGACACCTACTGTCAAAACCTTGCCAAAAGCCCGTGAAAGAATTAGTAAAAAGCAGGCATGAAGAATTCTCCCTGCTACCTGTGATCGCAAAGCTGGGACAAAACTGAATGTGCTTCCTTCACACTCCTGTGGTTTGGGATTACCCATGTGCTAATGCAGTCAGGGTGCAGGAAGTGGCTTGCAGTGGGAGCTGGGACAAACTGACCTGCGCCTTGACCTGCTCATGACACATATGATGGGGAGGCCCACTCTTTGGCCACCACTGACAAAGCCAGCACATAAGGACAGGTGGGATGAAGGACAGTGAATAATCTTTGCATTTTGGCTACTCCAGCATAAACTGATGGCCACTGAACTCAGGAGCCAGGTGGCCTATGTAAAGCTTTTTGTAGCTGCTCCAAACTGTGTCTTGAGGTCCTGATCAATATGGAGCTAACCTATAAAAGAGTTGCATTTGGAAGATTGGTTTTACATTGTGACCCTTTTGTATTTGTATTTAATGTTCTTGTTATGGTTGTAGTGAATTGCTGTAATTTTTACCTACTATGAACCCCAAATTCTTCTGCTTTTGCTGACACATTTTTTTTCCTGACACGAAAGAAAATACTGTAGGTAATCTAATGTGTGCAATTTAATAAAGAGCTTTTACTAGGGAGTAGAATCACAGTTGTAGTTGTGCACGTTTTGAATGGCAGGTTAACATCTGTAAGACAAATATTTCAACTGAAACCTATTCCTAATCTTGGGGCTTGTGTCTGCTTTTTTTTGCAACTGCTACCTATTCATTTATTAATCTTTTCTGCAGGAAACTCAGCCATGCATTTCCTCCAGGGCTTTATATGTTCTGTGTTAAATATTTTAAATGGTGTCATTCTTCCCTGCAGACTTAAATCCAAGGGCTCCAGAGTCCTGATAAATCTGTGTTTTCTCTGTTGACTAGTCCGCCAAGGACCAAACCCTGGTGTTTGCGTGGCAGGCCTCCAGCAAGAGCCCAGGGATGGCAAGAAAAGGCAATGGCAACCAGATGACATTCTTTCCCTTTGAATTAGTGTAGAGTCATTGCTCAAATAGATTTCAGATCCTTCCCACAAAATTTGAGGCTAGTGTGTTGACTGCCTGTGCCTATGCAAGACCCACGGCAATAAAGCTTGGATTCATCTAAAAGATTAAGGGAGCGGAGTCGCTCTCGCTTTCCTCAGTACTCATTGAAGAAATGCTTAAAGACAGTCCAGACAGTGATTTATCACAGCTAAGAGCTGAACTACCTTTTTGGAGGTCCAAAAGGGATAACTGATGTCAAGAGAGGCCCCATGGCAATTATCTACAGAAAGTGCCTTAAAATAGGTGGAAGGAATTGAGAACAGTAACTCTCAAAATACTGAGAAAAATATTTTATCAACTTGTGCAAATATATCCTGTTTGCATAAATGGTTCTGGAAATGCTGTTGTTCTCTTCCTCTCAATACCTGTGTCTGTGTGGCATGGCAGTGTGCTCTTAACCACACACACCTCTGATTTTTTTTATCTTTTTAGTAACAGACAGGAGTTTTCACATCCCTGTTTGGTAAAGTAAATGGCTCCACATCAGCAGAGTGTGGAAAGGGCTTTGATAACCTTCAAGGTGAAATACTTGTCAGCTCTCACTTTATCCAGGAACGGATTATCTGGGCTGTGGAATAATGAGGTCATGTCTTCCCTCCACACTGCTGGCAAGAGCTTCAAATTTCACACAGGGGTAGCTGCTTACATCAAGCCAGCTTTGCTTAATGCCGTTTAAAGCTACCTCCGTTTTCTGTCAGCAAGTTTTTACCAAACTGAGGATGTGAAATGTGTTCGTATAGCCTTATTTGCATTATGTGAGGTGTTTCCATGGTCTGTGGATTGCTGTCTTAACAGAGAGTTGATTGGTTTTGATGCAGAAGTGCAAGATGCAAGTAGCAGAGTGACTTGCCTGTGCTGCATACAGGCAGGCATTGCTTATGAGGAACGTAGAGCAGGATTTGGCAGGTGAGTGGACCAAGGCCACATAGCTCTTTTCAGGTGAGTGTCCCACTAGTCAACTTGCTGCACTGCCATGAGCCTAAATCTGCAGTTTTTATGCAGAGCTACTGCATTGTGAGTGGCCACCGACATGAAAGATCCCTAAAGCACACAAGCTGTGGATGTTAAGGCCTATGGGTGCTTAAGTAGATTAGCAAACAAACAAATCCTTTAATACTCTGGAATGGTTCCTCACCACCTAAGTAGAGATTATTCCACCAAACCAGCAAATTTTACCCTTCTACCTAGTGTAAAATATGCCTTTCAGATAGCTAAGTTCTTTAATAAGCACTCATGGTTAATAAGTACTCATGGTTAAAAAATAATTTTAAAATAAAGGAAATAGGAAAGTATATTGAAAACTTCTGTGTGGATTTCAAAAAAGGCACAAAAATGTTAGACAGACCCTGTGAAAACTGAGGTTACTACAGTGCTGGCCGTCGCGTACAAAGGATGCGACACCAGGAAGGTCACTACCACAGAAGATGTTATCCTTACTATTAGTTTTACAGAACTCATTACCATTTTATGTACAAATGTGTGACATAACTCACCACCACTTTCTTCTTAGTATTGTAAAAATCTTGGTTAAACTGTCTACATGTCTTGGTTAAACATGTAGAAACAACGGGTTACCTTGGTCTGATTCCGTTTCCAGGCTTTCATCATCTGTAATTTTAGTAAAAAAGTGCTTTTGTTAATATGCAATGCATCATAGTAACCGGTTACACTTTTACTACAAAAGGGTGTTTTATTTTCCTGAGGGATGAATAGTAATCAAGTATCAGCTGGTAGTGCCAAGTCCCTTGATAACACAATTGGCTGCATACAGCTTTGTTAGGCCCTTTCCTGCACTTGCCGGGAGAGACTTAAAAGAAGATGGTAGGAAAGCTGTTCTTTCCCTACTTGCGTGTTGGGATCGGAATTTTGGGATCCTTTTGTCTGCTGGGTGAAAAGGTGAGTGCCTGCATCGACTGGTGAAGCCCTTACTGATTAACAGTGGTGAGGGAAAGGTGGGAGAGGAGATAGAAAAATGTTTGAAAATAAACATGTGAATTAGGAAGATTACCCTGAGATTAAACACTGACTGACTTTAATGTGGAAGGGTGGGGGTTGATGGAGTTGGAAGGTGACAGAAAGTGGGAATACTGATTATAATCAGAGTAGGGGCTGATTTGTGTTATTTTGATGCTGATTTCAGTGTGATGGTGATCTGAGGGAAGGCTACAATCACCCTGGCCCTATATAGGAAGTGTCTCTATGCTAAGCACCAAGTGGAATCTGGCTTTGATCTCATTAACCCCATCAGCACTAGATTAGCAGATGTGTTTCTGGAGTTTGACTCTTCAGATGCTTAAGGTGTATGTACGGTGGCAGCAGGGCAGCACAAGGTGTTTGATGTGTATGGCAGTGAGACCTCTCTGAAGTCTTTGGAGGAACCCCTCTTGATATGCAGCAAGCCCCACATGTGCAGAGAGTTTTTACAGATCTTTTTTTTTTTCCTCCTAGAAATATTTAATTGTCATATCATTGGCAGGGTTCAGAACAGTTGAAGAAACTTGAGAAGAAAAAGTTAAGACTTCTGATTTTTTCAGAAATTTAGTATCAGGTAATGTTATCAAGAGGAAGGAGGGGAGTTCTGCCCTTTTTCTCAATGAGAAGAAGAAGAAGAGTTGGGGAATAAAAATCTAAGAAAGTGGGGAGGAAAAGAAAAGAGTAGAAAGTGTGTGTGCAAAGTTTCCTCCTTTCTTCTAAAGTCCACTCGTTTATTTCTAAACTCTACAAGAAAAACAATGAGATAGAGAAGGAAAACCCACAGCAACAGTAACAAGCTCAGAGGTTTTATTTTTCTAGAAGCATCTGTAGCCATCAGAAGGATCTTGTACGTTCAACAGATCATTTTGTTCCTCACTACTGGTTTTCTGTGACTTTTGAAAAAGGACATGCAAAGAGCTGATGTGAGTTATGTGCAGGAAGCTGCACAGGACAGGGGGAGCAGTGTGGGAGGTGTTGCAGGGCAGAAATGATGGCATAGCATGAAGAGCAGGGTCCCAGAACAGCACCCTAGCCTGGGTAAGAGCAGCTGTGTGCCGTCTCCAGCAGCAGAGCTGAAGCAGAGCTCTGAGAAGAACAGCATCCTTGGACTGGTGTTTTCTGTGCTGCACAAAGCCTCAGAAGAAACTGAGGCAGTGCCCTGTGCTGTTGCTGTGGCCATTGCTGCTGGTAAGCTCTGCTGCACTGCCCAAACAAGACTTACTTAGACAATTTGCTGTTATAACTTCCCCTTATTTATCCCTGCCAGCAGTGTAGCATCCACCCTGGTATGGACATGGTGACTATTTCAAATTAATTTGAGGTTATGTTGTCCGTGTTCACCCAGGCAGAATTTGCACACTGTGATGACAAAATCAGCCTCACGCTGAGCATCAGGTGGAGGAGATATTGTTAGTAACCTTTAGGCTTTATTTTTGTTTTAAATTCCTCAAGTTCTAACCCTGTAAAAGAAATTACAATAGATCAAATGAAAAAAGAAAATTCTGCGTTACTGCAGGTGCCTATTTTGATGGTATCTAAAATGGAAGTGTATGAATGTCAAGAGTATTCTCAGCCAAACCAATTGGGTTTTGTCTGGTGGTTCCTTCAGAATAAAGTATGGTTCACTGTTTGCTTTGGGTGTGTTTTCGAAAGGGCTTATTTGGAAGAGCATCTTGGAGATGGCTTTGCACAAAGATGTGTTTTATATGTTGAAGTCAGTTCCATTAGGATTGGACTTAGTGTGACTTTTTGGGAAGAGTCAATATCCTCACTGTGATGAGTGTCTTATAATTTTAAGATGGATGTATCCTATTGCATTGTCTTGGAAGAGACCACAGAAGAAGCTGAAGAAGTTGAGACTGAGCTTGGAAGTGTGAGCAGAATGTGTTCTAGGTGACTTCTCTTCTGAGGCACTTTGCCATGCTCTGGAGCAACTTAAGTTATTTTTGTAGTAGTTCCATTTGGTGGTCTCTGTACAGGTAGGAACACCAATTGGTCCTCAGGGGACAGGAGTAACACCTCATAGGCAGAAAAAAAAAAGACAAAAGAAAACTTCTCTCAACAGTGAATGTGCTGCTGTTATCTGAGAGCTGCAGGGACTCTGCTGCAGTGAAGAGCAGTCATTCTTTTTCTTTTCTTGCTGCTGCTAAGCAGCAAATGGTCCTTAAAGTGGTGGCAGTAGAACAACATGAGGTCTGAGGCTTTGATCATTGCTCCTTCATAAACACCTCCACGTGCTTTCTGGTTTGGGCAAGCCTTGTGTTTGTCCTCCCCACACTGCTCTTGAGTTTTCCGCTTCCAGGTTATTTCCTGCCTTGGATCTCAGGGGTGGCATGATTTAAAATACATCTATATGCATGAAATATATCTAAAATGATATTCCCGCTGATATCTTAAGCTCCTGAAAATTGTACCATGCTTTCCAATCACACATGGGGTTAAAATTACTCTTTACCGGATAAAATAAATTAGCAATGTAGGACATGTTTTCTTTCTCTGAAACTGAGGCTGGTTTTAAATGAAAGTTGTATTGTTTTGTTGGTACTTTTTTACCGAGGCTGTTTTCCCCACATGTAGAAGCTGTTGTTGCT